CATAATGATGAAGTGCTTCTGCTGCAGAATCAGTGTAATGAGCTTTCTCAAAGGCTTTCTGAACAGATTTTGAAGACTGAAGAGTTCAAAAACTTGACCATTCATTTGAAGGAGCTCAAAGACAAGGCTGATGCAGAGGCCACCCAGGCCCGGGAGAAGAGGGAATCTGAAGCACCACCAACTGCTATGCAAGAGTCCTTAAGAATTGCGTTTATCAAAGAACAGTATGAAACACGGCTACAAGAACTGAAGTACCAGTTGGCTGTCTCCAAAAAGCATAGTGAGGAAATGCTATGGAAATTACAAGATGCCATTGATGACATTGAGAATAGAAAGAAATCTGAATCTTCTCATTTAAAGAGAAATGAAGAGCTGGGAGCAAGGATCTTGGAATTGGAGGCCGAGTTACAGTCGTTGATATTGGACAAGCGTGAAAAAATGAGGGCTTATGACCTGATGAAGACTGAACTGGATTGCTCAATGATAAGCCTTGAATGCTGTAAGGAAGAAAAACAGAAACTTGAAGCTTCTTTGCAAGAATGCAATGAGGAAAAATCTAGAATTTCAGTTGAACTTAGCATAGTGAAAGAATTGCTCGAGACGTCCACATCAACCATGAAATTTCAGAAGGAAAGAAATGACAAACTGAAAGATGGTAGCATCTCTGATGAGCTGGTTGTCAATAATGCTCCAACTAGGGATGCAGATCTTAAATATTTGGACCAAGATACTTCAGCAAACTCCAAAGAAGCAGAACATTCATGCTTAGTTCCCATTGATGAAGGTGACTGTGCAAGTGCACTAATGAATTTGCAACCTGAGCAGGTAACTTTTAACATTTTGTTTGGAATATCTTCTCTCACTAATTGATTCAATAAGTAATTCACTGTTTTTGAATGAATTATAATACAAAAATTTTTATCTAGCAGATGATTCTTTTGTTTCTGTTTTGTTCCATATATTTGTTTTGTGTTATCTTAGATTTAATGATATAATGTTAGAGAATTTAGTATGTTGATCATCAACTTAAGTGCTAAGTGTGCTTATCTTTCTCTATAGGAAAGAACTAAAAATGCATTTCATCCTAAGAATAAATATTGAAAGACAATTGCATTATATTTTACTTAGATGCTATCTATTCTGTCTGACTATTTACATAATTGTATGATGTATTCAGTGATTTTTCTCCTATTTTACATAATCCTCTGTTTTATGCGTCATTAAGTTGTTTCACTTCCCTTTGCTAATGCTTCATATCCTTATGCTTTTGATTGAGACTGCTGTGAGGATTTTTTTTTTTGGATAATTTATCATGATGGTCAAAGAGTTGTGTGGAATCTCATCGAAGGTAAAGAGGAAAAAGACAAGGAAATGCGTAAATATATGCACGGGCCATTGGTTTTGAAGGAACAACAATATTCGTTTCTTTCAAATAGAATATGAATGAATGCATTCTAAATATGTTTACCTACAAATTAGTTTCCTTAGTGATTTGACTTTGTTAGAGGGTCCATGCAATTGCTGAGTTTTTATTGTAGATGGAAACGCAAAATATTAGATAAATTTATTACATATTACTACTCTTTTTGAAGTGCTTTAGAACTGTGCAAGTAGTAAATTGGTCTTACGATTTCAATTTTTTCTTTTAAAATATATAACTCTGTAAGTGATATTGCAACTTGTGAATGGGTCTTACATTCCTTTATCCTACATTCCTTTCACTTGGATACTAAAGGGTGAATTTGGGGGGAAATTGTGATGCATAGTGTGAGTTATCTAGGAGAGCATGCTTTGGTCAGCACAAACTAATTTGTACAAAACTACTTTCCTCTTTCCTATTTATCATGCCTTAGAGTGGGAGGAAAAACCTTGCTCCTTTTAAGTAAGTCCTGTAAATATGATAAAAACGTACTTGTGCTAGGCTTCACTTAATGTCCGTCAAAATCAGCGCTTAACCTTCCATTCACGTTCCTTTAGCTTCATGGTAAGAAATTTTCCAAACATTAACTTAGAGAATTTTAGATCAAAATAAAACAGGTATATAAGCTCTGACATAAACTAACTTTAAATATCAGTTTTTGTCTTAATGCTATCTCCCTGGTAATCTAGTTTCTAGCCAGCTGCTTGGCATCTGCAAATTAAGTGTTAATCTTAAGGTCTGCCTTTCAGTTCTTTTGATAAGCTATCTTGCATGTTTGTGCTGGACTGCTAAGTGATTAATTGATGCTAACTGGTAAAAAAAAAAAAAATTCAAATTTATTCTATTTCCTTAAGCAAGAATCTTGGATGAAGATTTCTTTGAAAAAAATGTTAACCTACTTCCTTTTATCCTTCCTCTGATATGTGCAATCATGCTATTTACATAATGAAATTTCTTTGTAATGATAATTTGCTTAATTGTTTATCAGGATCTTCTTGTATCTAATGATGGAAATGGAGTTCAAAGTCCTGCACTTGCCAACCAAGAGAACTTGCTGAATGGTGATGCAAAACATCTGGCTTTAATCAATGATCGTTTTAAAGCCCAAAGTTTAAGATCTAGCATGGACCACCTAAATAGTGAGGTATATATATGTGTAAGCCTGTAAGGTGCAAGTTAGTGAGAATCTGACCAGAATTTAATTGCAATTCCTTCTTATATTGTTGAGCATGAGGAAATTTTATGTAATTTTCTGTCATCAGTTAACTTCGTTACAGTTGTAGCATAAAATTTCCTCACGATAAAGCCCAATAATGGTGATTAATATACTTCTTTTTATGTGCTTGTAGCTGGAAAGGATGAAAAATGAGAATCTGCTTCTTTCAGGAGATGGTCATCATTTCGACCCCAAATTTCCAGGTTTACAGCAAGAATTGATGCAGTTACATAAGGTGAATCATTATGGATCTCTTACTTCCATAACGTTTTGATGAAAGCCCTTCAACCAGGCTCTCAATTTTTGCCCTTGCACAGGTGAATGAAGAGTTGGGAAGCATATTCCCTTTGTTTAATGAATATTCAGAAAGTGGAAATGCATTAGAAAGGGTACTTGCATTGGAACTTGAGCTTGCCGAGGCATTGCAAACTAAGAATAAATCAAGCATCCTTTTTCAGAGGTATGCTATGACCTAGAAAAGAACTCTAGTCTGCTTTTCTGATTCCTTTCCAAACTTAACTGACAAAACCTTTTGATTAAGTCTCTATTACTTGTGAGAAGCTTGTGCTTAAGGGAAGCAATTTGCTTCGGCCTAAGGGCCTTGAATGGCTTAGGCCTTGAAGGTCACTTCAAGGAATTTACTGTGTCTTACATGTTTAAAGTTCTAAGTCTACTGCATATTAAATCACTAGAGTGTTGCATTAATGTTTGAGTTTTACAGATACAAGTGGACATTCATGTTTGACTCGAGCATCTCTTTGTCAACCTAGTTTCCAACTAAGAGAACTGGCTCATATGAAAATAATTTGTTATATAACTCTATTATGATCTACATCTTCCCTGTCTGGGTTCAATTTATAAGGGGATTAGCAGCTGTTATATCTTTGTTGCTGTCTGCAAACATTGTGAGCTAACTATAAGTTAATTTTTCCCCTCCACCTTGTCTGCACTCATATTCTCATGTGTGTCTTTTATTTCTATGCTGAAATTGTTGGCTGTCACACACACTAATCACTAAGTTACTATGAATTAACAGAGAGGATGGATCTACCTTTCGCAATTTCTGGTGTGGCATTCTGGAAAACACGTGTATGTACATTGTGTGACTCATTTTTTGTTAACAGATTCTTGCTTTGGCCAAGTTTTATTTGGCTGCAAAGATGACTGCAATGACCTGTTTGGTGGCACTTTATCTGGTGTACCAGTAATTTGGGTGCAGCAATCAAACCTATTACTGGTCCCCAGTTATTTCTTTAATACCATTCACAGGATGCATCTTCATAGACATTTAATTTGCTTGTTCTTTCCCTTCCAAAAAAATTTTGAAAACCATTTGCAGTCATGTATAATGTCTCCAATGAGCTAAAAGAAAACATTGACTGGGAAAGATTTCGTAGGCTGTGTATCTTCTCATAGCTGGAATCCCCGCAAAATTATCAACCTTCTTTCACTACTGTTCATACCTATTAGTTGTGCTTTCCTCTGGACTTTCCCTTTGCTGCTTTGATTTCTTTTTGAACCTCATTGACTTTTGAGCCGAAAATCCAAATTTCATTATGCATTGCTGTTTCAAAATAGGGACATTGGGACAAGGGTCGTTTAAACTCTAGCTGAACAAATGAAACACAAATGAAACACGAATTTGACATAATATTCTCTTGTGGTTCAGCTGTTTCTTGAAACAGCACAATGATGAGGAAGCAGTGTTCAAAAGTTTCAGGGACATCAATGAGCTAATCAAAGACATGTTGGAGATAAAGGGAAGACATGGAGCTGTAGAGACTGAACTGAAAGAGATGCATGAGCGATACTCTCAGCTAAGCCTTCAATTTGCGGAGGTTGAAGGAGAGAGACAGAAACTCATGATGATTCTCAAGAATATTCGAGCATCCAGGAAAGGCCAAAACTTGATTCGCTCCTCATCAGCCTCACTTGGGGACCATTCCTGAGCCACAAGAACAAGCTTTGCACTGGTATTCTGTTTGCCATGTCCCAGAAATGCCCCTTCAAAAGGTTAAGTTAATGCCTGCTCCTTCCCTGTCATTAAGTTATCAAATTTCTTGTGATTCAAAGGCTATTGAGCTATTGAAAGATTCAAGCTTTTCAAGCATGGTACACAATATCAAAGAGCAAAGCAGCTTTATTTTATGTAAATAAATATATATTTCCCAGTCTTTGTCACCGGTTCACTAGTATCATAAGACATAGATAGATGTATCAACACTTCGACCTTTTTCCCCTGGTCTTAGTGATGTAATTCTTCTTTTGTACAGTGAATTAAATTCTTTGCCCTTTCTTTCACAAGCAACAATGGGAATGCAAGTTTTTTCAGTAAAGCTAACCACATCTTTTTAAAAATTCTTTTTATGTTTCTGCTGCCACCGGAATTGATAACATGCCTAAAACATGTAATGTTGAAGAATTGCAATCGCCACAAATATAACAGGAACGCATTGAAAATGAAGGAAATGGCATCGGTAGAATAAGCATCAGCAATCTCATTAGACAGCTGCTTTTCTTAGGAGAATCATTCTGTTGTTTCTCTGTTGGATAAAATGTCAGGACTTCATTAGTACTTAACTAGGGTTATGGCATGCTGATAGACAAGAGTTAGTACATGAAACAAAGTTCATAATGTAAATATAGTATACTAAACAACATATACTTAAACCCCACTTTTCCAGACGAGTTAAATAGGTATAGCATGCTGATAAACAGCAGCAAGGACGCAGCTTCAATGAAAGAAAAATGACAGAAGAGGAAAACAGGCATGGATCTTATGAAAATGAACTAAGAACCCTCTTTTTTTTCATCGATATGGAAAACTTGATGGAACACTTTGGCGAGCTGGGGAGAAGGAATAGGCTTCATAAGTAACTTTTACACTTGATAGAATCAGAAAAGATCATGTGCTACAGAACACGAATGGGGAAGAGAAAAATGTTATAGCAGAGTTATTATTATTGCTCCCACAGTCTAAAGAAATTTTGATGGTTAAAAATGCATAATGTGCCTTAGCCATCAAATCCCTTACATATGTAAAGAATCAAATGCATATGTTGTGGATTAGTATTACCATTGTTATTTGACAAAGGAAGACGCAGGACGACATGCATTGTAGTTACACCTCCTGGAAGTTCACCAACCTGGAATCTGCACTCAGCAAGTGCCCTGCAGTTTTCAAGTATCTTTCCAGCATGAATTAGCTTCACATCTTGTATCGACTTTGGGCAATTTTTTATGTCTGGGAAACAGAGAAGAGTATTCCATACGCAAATAGAAGCCAATTATATACCAAAAAGGCACAATGTTATATCAACAAAAAGGCACGGTATGGGAGGATTAAAAGCAAAATGCTACCTGAATGTACTAAAAAACTTTGCTTGTATTCATTATAGAGAAGCAAAATTGAAGGATAGTTAATGGGAAGAGACATAATAAGTCGAAATCAGTACCTTGCTCATACAAGTAACTGAACTTTGTCCGGACATCTCAATTCATGTGCCTTTCAGGCATGTGTCAAAGAGTACAAAAGGTTAAACAAAAACACAACTCAAAGCCCATTTTTTGTCACCTAAGAAGAAAAGTAGCTATAGTTAAATTATGCAAATTGGAAAAGAGTAGAACCAATGACTCTTCACAAACTCAACTAATTTGCAAGCATAAAGAAAAAAAGAGAAAAAGAAAAAGAAAAAAAAGCAGCAACTTCACTCCTGATACAGATATTTTTTATTTTGAAACGATGAAAAATAACAAAGACAAAGACAACCACAGTCTTAGATCTATTGATGGAGTATTGGACTCTTAGTTTCAGTGGTTAGGAATCAAATACTCGCAGCCTTAACTTAAAAAAAACAAAGGCAAAGACAAAAACACTTTACATACAAGATACAGTAATGAGAAAATTCATGATGCATACAATTAAACAGGTAAAAATGAAAAAAGTTGAGTGACCTTTAGGCCACTGAACAGGTATTTTCTCCTTAGAAGCCACAGTTGTAGCTGGACTATACTTGCCTGGACCAATGTCAGTTCCATCTGCAAGCCTGAATTTCAGCTCCACTAAGTCTTCTCCAGCCATAGATTGAAATCTCTCACCAATAATTCACCTTAAACTCTCATGCTAATCTCTAAAAAAATCAGCTTTTTTCTCTATCAGATTGATATAAACTGTTCACTATAAATCCTCCTTTTTTTTTTTTTTTTCTGCGCAGAAGATGTTTAACAAAGAACAGAACGTTCGCTTTTTGTAAAGGAAAACCAACATTACAGAAGAAACTATCAACAACCCGGATTTTTTTTCTTTTGCAAAATTCACTGAAAAATTAATCACTTGAAAATTGAGGAGACTTCTAACTCCAAGAAAAAAAAAACAATATTTTTAGTTGTTTGACATCAACCTAAGATCTGGACTGATCAGAAATGTAGGATCAACAGGCCAGAGAATGAAGAGAGAGAGATAGAGAGAAACCTTTGCAACTTGATGTGGAAAGAGAAGAATGAAACCACCCAAATAGGAACTTTTCAAGTGGGATTTTTACCTGAATCTAGTAAAAATCTAATGATATAGAAAGTCACACTTTTACATAATCACCAGTAAATAGCCCACTCAAATCAAAATAAATGTAATCTATCTGAAAGGGATGACATGTTGTTACTAAGCAGTTCTAACTTTTAACTAATTTCATTATTTTGACTTAGTTATTGATTTTTTTTTAATTATAATTCGATTTTGTATGACATGAAACTTTGTGGAATATAAACAAAGTCAATTTCATGTAACATGTTCAACACAAGCAAAACTCATACTTCTTAAAGGGAACTTTAGAAAAAAAATGGTACAGCAGAAAATTTGAACCATGAAATTTCACGAAAATGAAAGCAGACGTGAAAATTTCTGGAGTTTACTTTAAAGTGACGAGTGGAAATCACGTTTTCTCACATTATAACTATGATTTAATATAATTTTTTAATTTTTAATATAATTAATTCTAAAATTATGAGATATAAGATTTAATTTGTTACATTATTATATAATTAACGAAATCTAACTTGATAATTAGTTTTTTCTAAGTTCTAAATTTGCAAGTTGAATACTGACAAATCCCACTAACACCTTTTTTTTTTTTTTATTTTTTATATGCGTGTGTTGAGAAAATTTTCTATTCAATGTCATTTCAAAAAAAAAAAAATCTTCTCAACACATAAATAGTCTCAAATATGATATTTTCGCGGAATTTCCCACTCTTGTGAAAAGCGGAAACTACCAAGAAATTTCACTATTCAAACAAAATAATGGAGACATAAGAAGTATTATTATTGCAAGAGCCATTATTATCATATTTGTCTACTGGTTCTTTCTGATGGTGACATTAGAACATTAGCATAATTATTTATGAGCAAGCCTTATTCGACTGCCTTACCAGGACCACCTCCTGCGGACTGAAAAAACTAAGTTTGGCACAAATGTTCATGTTGATTCACTGCCAGATTTAAGGCCTGGAGGCTAGAACATAACAATTTCATGTAAATTATGCAGAAATTGATGGCATATAAAATTAATGAAGACCACTGTACATTTGATTCTTCCGGGAAAACAAAAGTCTAAACTAATAATATAAGAATGTAGAATCATTGCCATTAAGATATAAGTTGCTTTGACACCCAATCTCGAGATATTATGAATTTATAAGTAGATATTTAAATTATATTTATATTTTTTGTGTGATAAAATTATGAAATTTTTGAAAAAAAAAATAATATCTCGTAAATTGAGTACGGATTTTCACAAATATTATCATAATAAAATCTTATAGAAATTAAATACTACATGGTAAAAATCATCTTTAGAATCCCTAACATATGTCAAGTTTTAATAAGCCTCATTGAGTTATTTTGAAGATTTATTATATGTGTATATATATATATATATATATAAAGATTTAAACTTACATTTATGATACATCTTTTATAAGATAAAATTATGAGATATCATCTATTTATCTATCTATTTATTTTTATATATAAAAGTGTAAACTCTAAAAACATTAATAATGATTGACTTGAATGTCCTTATAAAATTTCAAATTAATAAATTTATCTTTATATATATAACTTTTATTAATTTATTTAAGTTTAATTTAAATAAACTAGAATTAAAAACGGTGTTTAACATGAAATTAAATTACTTACAATTTTTAAATTTTAATTTCAAAGGTGTTAAAAGTGATTGATTAAAATATTCTTAGTAAATGTTTTTATAAATTTTAATTTAAATGAATTTTTTATTAGTAGACTTTTTTATAATTAGACTAAAATAGTATTCAATATAGTTGACTAAAATACCCTTAATAAAAATTTAATTTCAAAAATATTAAATGTGATTGATTAAAATATCATTAGTAATTCTTTTATAAATTTTAATTTTAATCTTTCTTTTACTATTAGACTATTTTTTTTTATAAGTAATGATTTTTCACATTGAATGAAAATATAAGTAAAACGAGATAAAAACTTAATGTGTATAGGAACAAAACAATTATATGGAGTTTATTTCTTTAGCTGTTGTAAAAGCAATTGTATATGTAGTTTATTTTGATAAATAAATTCATTAAAAATAATCATAATTAAGTCAATTAATAATATTTGTTTTTTTTTTTTATTTTTCACCTTTCAATTTTTTGTTTTAATGTATTAACTATATATTTATGTTAATAATTTTATTATTTATATGTTTTATGAGTTGATCATTTGACAATTGATAACATAATTAAATTTTTTTAGTCTATTGAAATAATTCTTTGATATAACAATTTTACAAGTTAAAATGACTTTTATAAATAATTTCTCTTTTGTATTTTCTTCCTCTAGAATTTTGTAATTGTTATTCCCATGAATAAAAATCAATATCAAATCAAATGTAAATCAATTGCACCATCTTTATTAACAATTAGCACTTTGTGATTTATTAAACATATTAATTGGATTTTTTACCAGTAGAATTAGACGATTTAAGAGGTGGTGGTGCTACCAGAGCTCAGAATTGGATTCTGTCATATTGCCATAAGAATTATCACTTGATTGAATTAATAATTGATTTAATTTTTTCTCGACTTTTATCTTAATATGTATATATAATTAATTTTATATCTCAAAATTATTTAATTTTTTTCAATTGTATTAAATTGTTCATTTTTTTTTTATTGTCATTCGAGTGGTTGGACGATCTAATGTAAATTATTATAAGTAAAAAATTATTAAGTGAAGTAAAATAATTATTTTATAATGGGAAAAGATAATGACCATTATAGACATTAGATTAAAATTTATATTTAATAAAAATTTAAATTATTTAACGTTTATAGAATTATTAAATAATTGAAAATTTATTAAATTATTTTTATGTCAAATAATAATTTTATTAATAAATAATTAAAAATTAATAAAAATAATAGTAATATATCAAATAATATGTTTATTTTTATTATTTATGTAGTTATTTATTTTTAGTTAAAATAATAAAATTTATTTATATAATAATCATCAAATTACTTTACAATTTTTAAATAAAAAATCATAATAGAAAAAATGTTAAGTTTAGTGAATAGAAACACATTTCAAGGCAATATAAGAATAATAAAATTTTTTTGGAGGTAAAAAGGTCCAATTCGAACACTGGTAGTCCACTTGACCCTTAACCTCAGTCTAAAACTAACTTTTTAGTACAATTAAAAGATTTAAACACAACAAATGTGATGTTATCCAATCAATATTTACAATGTGATAGTGCTAAAAAGTTAAGCTATTCACACCTCATTAGAGGTCTAGTGGCATCCAAATTAATCCTAAGTTGTTGACATTTTATAATAAATTAAAATTAAGTTAAGTTAGTTTATTTTTATAATTACATGAATTATATTATTTTTAATTAAATTAAAATTTAAAATGATTAGAAAATTTATTTATACTTAATTTGAGTTGTGAATTATTTCAAGTTTGAGGTGATTAATTCATATTATTTTAACTATATTTTTATGAAGTTGGTAATAAATTTAAAAATAAAATAAGAATACAACACATTGAAAATTTAAATGCAAAAAGTAATGAAAATACTAATACTAATTATACTAATACAAATTCGTATTATAGAAATATTAATCTAGATCAATGAGTTTATAATTGTTTATTTGTTAACAATTTGCTGCTATGTAGGTTGAGGGAAACAATTAAAATATTTCATTTGAAAGAGATATCATGGTTTATACTCATTCAAAAAGACAGCATATAGTTAAACATTATTTGGGTTATTATAACCTCTTATAATATTATTTACTCTTTCTAAATGGAGAAGTTGATTGGTATCAAATATTAAAAAGTCATTAAGGGAGGCTTTGACATGGTCAATAATGTTGTAAATAGCAGCAGCTCCAACGTTGTCAATCAATGTGGCCATGGGTCCAATGTGCCAATTCCCATATCTACAATCTATGGATAAAGATGTATATATATAAGTTATAATATTATTTTATTTTACCTTCTGGCTAAAATAGAATGAAGATAACAATATAATTGAAAGAGATTGATCAGATTTATTTATTGATGCATGATTGGGTACAATGAAATTATAACATATGAAACCTTTTTAGCCATGGAGAATCTATAATCCTTCTAGAGTTAATGCATCTAGCTCGTGGCTTATGGTTTCTTTTGATAGACCTTTCAACCATTTTAGGGATTTTTATAGGGAGCCATCCTCCATTTTTAGACCCTCTTCCTTTTGCTTTCCCCTTTTGTTACAGGGGATTGACTCATTTACTCAAACATTTATGAGCAGCTCTGAAATAGCAATGAAAACCCTAAAACAAAATACATGCAAAGAGAAATTATTAAAAAAAAATATTCAGAACAACATGCAACTTTGAGAACCACAAAACCTAAACCCTATTCAATATAAAAATGTCTAACATGAAAATCACCTCAAGAAAACCCCCCCAAAAAAAAACCCACATTTGATTAAACAAAAAAATGACAGATTTTACCCAAAATCACCAGAGGAAAAAAAAAAGGAAAAAAAAAAAACCAACAATCACAAACCATAAAAAGTTCTCTTTCATGTGACAGTTAGACTCTTTGCAACATCTTTGAAACAACAATGAAAATTCAAAAAAAAAGTTTCAAAATTCAAGTTTAAACACAGTTGTTGAAGTTAAACACTACTATCAAACATAAAACAGCATAAAAAGACACTTGTAAGCAATGAAAGAAGCTTTTGCTCCATGGTCTCATCCTATCTAGCCTCACAAAAATGACAAGCATTGCAAAAAAGCCAAAAAAAAAAAAAACACATGGCAAGAAAAGATCTTTTAAGGGATACTTTTTATATAAGGGTGTAGAAAGTTAATATAAAGCTAAATAAAAAATAACGTTATAACAACTATCTTAAAACATTAAGACTCAAAACTACAATTGATG